CTTGATTGTGCCACCCTTCTTCTCACCTTAGGGCCTGCAAAGAACTTAGCAAAACTAGCCCAGAATAAGGGCTTAATGTCACTTCAGTATCCATTTGTACTGCTCTTTACCAGTGTGTGACTGAGTGAATAGCCTTTTAACCTTCAAGAGGTTAGTTCTACTTTTCAGAAAGGTGCTAATCCCAAATCTAATCCCACCTAAATGAACTCCAAGTCCACATGTAGCCCTCGGGTATTTATGTCTTTATTTATTTTCTCCCTTATTTCTTTCCAAATCCCAAATATTCCTATTTTCACAATGGTGGAAGCAATAACTTTAAGTGACAGGGACAGAATATTCCAGGTAAGTACTTAGAAGTAGCATGTTCTTCAATTGTCTTCTAAAGGCAGAACTGACTCAAAGCAAATCCTTGTATGTAGACAGGTATCTTCTAGAGCTGCCAGTTCAAGAGACTGATAAAAGCTCACCCAAGGGAGGGCTTTTAAATTAAAGATAATTCTGTATCTTTTTAAGTTTAAAAATTATCATTATTATTCATTTTATGTGTATTGATGTTTGTTTGCATGCATGTCTGGATACTTGTGTGCAAGTTACCAACAGAAGCCAGAAGAAGCATTGGATCTTCTGCAAACAGAGTTACAGATGACTGAGCTATGATATGGGTGATGGAAATCAAACGCAGGTCCTCTGAAAAAGTAAATATCTCTCCATCACCTCAATAAGGTAGTCTTGACATATAGATAAGAGAGTAAAAGGAGCAGAAGAACAGCAGTTGCTCTGGAAGCTGATGAAATCTGCCAGAGAAGACCTAAGGATCCCAAGTGTATGTGTACGGGTGGAGAAGGCTTCCTAGACGCAGCTGGCATCAATATTGGCATTTGTAACAGGTTCATATCACTCACCTACTCTATCAAAGCCCTAAAAGGAAAGTTGCTAGGTGAAGTAATCAATAACAGAAAACACAGCTTGCTCAGTCATTCATCCCTCTCACCAAGAAGTAGCACAATCAAAGCATCTGCGTTGGTCATTGGCCCTTAATGCTTAAATGTGACCAGACAATCAGACTCCTAGAGCAAATTAGGGGCTCTTAACATGATATCACATGTATTGACAAGATTCCTGAAATACTGAAAACTTAAATAAGAGCATTTTCCAAAATATTAGAGAATACAACATTTATAGATTTAAGCTTTAGAAAAGAGCTTAGTGAATATTAAAGAGCAGTTTACAGAAAGTAAAGCTACACTTGCATATACCTCAATCGCAGAAAATAAATTAAGAACACTTTCTAGGATGCAAAATAAAGAAAAAATACAGAAGACATAAGCTATGATACAAAGAAATGGTATCAAGGTGGGAAGGTGAGAGGCTCTCTCTCTCTCTCTCTCTCTCTCTCTATATATATATATATATATACACATAGGGTACATAGCAATGATCCATTAGGATCAAGGAATAAAGTATTGGATATGTATATACCTGTGCACCTCTGGATGCATGTGTAAGTTTTGGGAGACTTTCTGTTTGTTTTCAGTAGAGTTCCCTTTTTATCATGTATACTCATACACAGAATGTAATATAAAACAGACTTTACAACATGTAGCTTTATGACTTGGGTTACAACTTAGTATATTACGAACATTTCCACTTTTACAACAGTTAAGATAACTGTAGCTTGGAGAAAACTTCAACTAATCTTTCAGGACAGATGTATTTAATGTCTTTCCAAGGTGACCTCATAACTTTTACAATGTATGGAGGAAAAAAAGGAAGTCCTTTTTTGTTGTTGTTGTTTGAGACAGGGTCTCCCTGTGTAACAGTCCTGGATATCCTAGAACTTACTGTGTAGACCAGGCTGACCTCACAGAGATCCATCTGCCTGTCTCGTAAGTGCTGGGATTAAAAGTGTGCACCACCATGCTGGGCTGGGAGTCCGTGTCTTAATTAGCTTCACACACACACATATATATATATATATATATATATATATATATATATATATATATATATATATATATATAAAGAACTTGCCTTTCAATGACTTAACTCTTTAGTTTTCTGTGACTGGGTCTTGCTCTTTAATTCTTTCAGACCTGGTACTTGCTATGTTGCTAAGGCTGGCCTTGAACTCCTAGATGACCTCATCTCAGTTTCCTGAGTGTTGAAATGTACAGGTTTAACAGCATTATACATGGCTTAATAATTTTAGCTTTTTAATGTGTAGCTACCTAAGCATTACTCAAGAAATCCATTTTATTTTTTCTAATCTTTCTTTGTCATTAATGGAAGTATTATATTATTTAATCTTATTTTTAAAGTAGGCATATAATGCTAATGGTTACTTATTATACAGGCAAAGAGATAAAATTTTAAGATAGTATGCATATAAACACGTTGGGGCAGATGCCTACTTTTTTTTTTTTTTTTAAGCAGATAAAAAGTAGAGGTTGTATTTTTGGAAAGGAAGACCATACTAGACCTACCTAAGCAATCTCACATTTTAAAAAAAAGTATTTAGAAAGAAAAAGAATACATGCAATGGAAAGAAGAAAATAAAGTTGAAGAAAAATTCTGCAGAACTGAAGAAAGAGATTTTTTTAATCAAAGGTCAAGCCAGACAAGTGACGAAAAAGAACACCCACAGTTGAACAAAGTCTTAAGAAATCTGAGACAAAGGACAGAGTCAAGAAAGAACAAAGTGGCTATGGAGGGAAAAAGACTTCTTTATCCAAAGAAACTTAAAAACAAGAGTCAAATGTGATGCAAAGTACATCACCCCAAGTCATCTGCTCTTGTTTATCTACCACATCTTTTACCTATGTAGAACTGACTATTTTGAAATAACTTTTTTCATTAATTTTACACAAATACTTATTGTACCCCCAAAATGTTGGTCATTGGCCTTTCGTTTGACTTGTCTAAGAGAAGTATTTTTATGTGTATATAAAAGTCTGTTTCAACCTTATTAATAGAGTAGGACTTAGTTGCATTTTGTTTGTTTTTGGTTTTTTGTTTTGTTTTGATCTGGTCATGGTTTTTCAAGACAGGTTTCTGTTTAGCCCTGGCTGTCCTGGAACTTGCTCTGCAGACCAGGCTGGCCTCGAACTCACAGAGATCCAACTGTCTCTTCCTCCCAAGTGCTGGGATCAAAGGCATGCACCACTACTGCTGGCTTAAATAGCCTATTTCAATACTAAAAGTTGTGAAAATGTCTAAATTAAAATCACACAAAATTAAAAATAACTCAATCATGGCAGAGGCAGTTCTACTTTTGGACTCTTAATTAACTCTGACAAAACAAATGGGTTCCATTCCTTATAAGTATAATAAACCATTTCAACCATTTAAGAAGCTCCTGGGGCAGGGCTGGAGAGACAGCTTATTGGTTAAGAAAAAGGGCTACTCTTCAGAAGCCTGAGGTTGAATTCCCAGAACCTACAACTCCCAACCGTCTGTTACTCTAGTCTCAGAGGACTGAATGCTGTCATCTGGCCTCTGTGAGCAGCAGACACACAAGTAACACACAGACATAAATGCTGGCAAAAGAGATATACACATTAAAAAAAAAATAAAGTTCTAGGGTATGTAGAGATGCATGGAAGGGTTAAGAGTGCTAGCCATTCTTGCAGAAGACCTGAGTTCAGGCCCAAGTATCCACCTCAGGCAGCAAAACTGCCTGTAACTCCATCTCTAGTGGGACCCTACCCCTCTACCCAGAGAAGGGACCTGTATTCATGTGCAAATACAACCTTCTCCCATACACATAATTAAAACAAAATCTTTTAAAAGTTCTAACTAAAATTGAAGATCAATGTTTAAAGGTAAAGTTAACTCAGAAGAACTAAAATTTCCCAATCTTCCTTGGTGTATATTATTTCCTATAATCAAATGTCTGAAACAATATGTTAAGCTTGGAGTTATCAGAACAAATGACATATATAACATCAAATTTAGCATCGTTAAAATGCATACAGCAATTCATATAAATGAAATTATGTCATGATTTTCGACCTTAAAACCAGGCTAGTGCAACAACAGCACTATTAGAAAAGTGGCGCCGCACGCACCACGTCGTATCAAAGTGTACCTCAACACTGAACAAGATCTCCTCTGAGGAGGGCGTCTCTTAAACATTGTCCAACATCACGTGCGTCACTGCTCTACGTCCGACTCCAGCCAGAGGGTCAGGCAGACAGGTAGAGAGCCCTTTCATACAGAAGAGCGCAAGTACCTGCATATGCAAAGTATATATGGCCTAAGGCTGGAAGAAGACAGCTAAATGAAACTCACGGAGATATAAGAACACAGCCAGGCCAGGGGAGAATAACAACAATAAAAGCAGCGACTAGAGACAGAGATAACAGCGAGAACACAAGGGCACGGATAAAGGGAACAGCAATCAAGGCATCCAAAACCTTCGAGTTGAATGAGAAGTGGTCACCGGCCAGCGCCCGTCACTCCGACTGCTCAAACATTTGCAAGAATTCTCTAAGAGCCTTGGACTGGCCTGACGGTCACCTGCACATTCAGAAAGTAGTGATGGAGCAACCCGGCTGTCTAAATGGCACAGAACGTGACATAACGGGGCCGGGTCGCAGGCCGCACTTACCAGGCCACGACCGCCCGACGTACTCGCCACATCCCGCCAGCGCAGACCACACACAAGCGCCGAGACGGCCACGTGGGAGCCCCGTGTCGGCCCCAGTCCGACACCTGCTCCAGCAATGACCCAGGAGCAGGCGCTCAACAAGGGCATAGAGCAGTCGCTGAGTCCCTCCCAATGGCGCATGTACTTCCGCAAGAGCCGGCCGGGCACCCGTAATAAGTCCGTCCCCGAAATAACCACCCACAGGAACGATAGGAGAGCAGCACAAACGGCCCGCGGAGGACTACGAATGCCTTGCGAGCCTCTGGGCGGTACCTCTGTAGTGCTCCCCCTCTCGGTTCCGCTCTCAAAGTGAGCCGGTTGGAATTATGAAAATGAGCTTCCCGGTTAAGGATTCCAAGCGAGATGGTTGGGCGGGCTGTCCTCAAGAAATTCACACGGTGAATGTTTATTGGGAGCAGCCAATTTAATGATATCTGTTTAAAAGCATTTTTGTAACCGAACAATCTTACAGTCTTGGTAGGCTAGGAACCTTAGATTTTTCTGGGATCCGATCGGAGAGACACTTTTGACATTTGAGTTTGTAGGTTTGGAATATGCACATATAGTTTCATAAAAGCACAAATTATTTTCTTTTTCATTCTTTCTTTAGTTGGCTTTCATCTGATTGTTGTTGCTGTTGTTGTTTGTTCGTTTGTTTTTGTTTTTCAAGACAGGGTTTCTCTGTGCATCCCTGGCTATCCTGGGCTCGCTTTGTAGACCACGCTGGCCTCAAACCCGTAGGGATCCCCTGCCTCTACTTGCCCAATTGCTGGGATTACAGGTGTAGCCACTGCTCCCGCTTCATCTGAATTTTAATGGCACTGATTTATTGAATTTATTCTTATCAAAGTCTCTTAACATCTCCAAATCTCTGGTAATGGCCCTTCAGCAGTTTTCAGCTAAGTTCTCTTCCTTGTCTTTTGACTTTCAAAATGTCAGATTCATCCTCCCATTTCCCTGTAACCCATCCCTCCCCATTTCTCCTTACCATCCACTCTACACAGTTGATTCCTAGGACCCTAGCTACCTGCTTCTCCCAACTATTTTTTAGTGTTCAAAAGGTGTGGGCATCTTGGGTTCCTTCCTTTTTCCAGCTACATTTTCTCCTTAATAATCTAAATTATTTACACTACTCCAAATATCTCTTTCATCTTCAATTCAACCATTTTGTATTTTTAAGAGGAAACTGCGGTTCAGAAAAGGAATATTGCCCATGAAAGATTATGATGCCAATTAATTGCATTAGTAGGAACTAAAATTGGAGGGTCTTGTACTTTTTCTCACTTCAAGGACTATTCCTTTTACCCATCTCTCTCTTCTCAACTCTATGTCTCTGTCTCTCTCTCTCATACTTACACAAACAAAAGCACACACACCACCACCACCACCACTACCAGACCAAATAAAATCTCTTTTCATTTAATTGTCAGAATCATAAATCTGGATCCATCTACTCAGAATACCATCAAATATATAAAGTATCTTGTCACCCAACTGCTTGACAATGAACTTTCCTAATGCAGGCCTCCAGGGATATATTTACTGTGGTGAGTGTTTTGATGATCATTTCAGATGGAAACTTACTATAAACCCTAACCAGTATAAACCAATATGGAAACCAGTATAAACCCTAACATTTTCTAGTACCAGATAAAACTGTATTTGTTATTATTGCTTCCTAATTCTTGTTTGGAAAAAATAAAAGGGAGAAATCAAGTAACAACTACTTCCATGCGTAATTTCTCTCTGCACTTTACAAAGCTCTTGTTTTGTAATTCCTTTTCTAGGCTGGGAATACCAAACCAGTCCTATGTGCAGATTTTGTCTACTATTAAATGAAATAACAAAATATTAAAATCAGCATAAAAGTCTCCAGATAGTAGCTAATTAAGTGAGTTATATTCATACTAGCCACAAAAACCTATGAGCTCATTGTATCTGAATAAAGAATAAATCCTGAAATAGCTGGCCCTAATTTGAAGTGGCTTTAATTTAGATTTTGTTTTGTTTTAACTTCATAATGTTGCCAAAGAAATGTAGAGGAGAAAACTCAATAAAAAGCCATGCTTCAAATACTTGTTTTGACCAGTATACTATCTGACAATTGCACGAGTTATTCAACATTTTATAAAATAAGCCACCTGTCTGCTAATGTATCGGTTGTAAGCATGTTTAAAGTAAATGGGCTAGAGTGAGGTAGGAAGTTTGAGAGGTGAGGTCCCTCAGGTGATATTTTCAAATTATAATGGGTTTGCATGATATCCACCTGACTGAATGTACATAGGAGAATCTTATAGTGCTGGGTAGGACATCTTGTCAAACGGTTATGAAATCAAACCACAACCATCAGTTCAAATTCAGGCCACAGAGTTGTTTTGTTTGGCTATACAGTGTGAAATAATACTGGACTTCTTGCTGTCATGTAAAAAAATTAAAAATTTTACAGTTAAACAAGCTCAGCCAGTTGTGGTGGCATGCCCTTGTAACCCAACCCTCTGAGAGGCAGAGGCAGGTGGATTGCTGTGAGTTTGAGGACAGCCTGGTCTACAAAGTGAGTCTAGGCCAGCCAAGGCTACACAGAGAAACTCTGTCTCTGAAAAATCAAAACAAACAAATAAAGAACAAAACCAGTTACTCGTAAAATACCAGACAACATTAAGTCATTAATCTTAAAAAAAAAAAAAATTGGAGGCAAGGAGTCAGGAAGTGTTTTATACACTTCCTGAGGTTAAATACATCAATGGCTCTGATTGTGGTCTTTTCTTAGAAAACTCAAGAGAAGTTTTTAAAAACATAAACCATTGTTTATATAAAAATTATCGATTGATATACTTGGAGCAGTGGTTCTCCACCTTCCTAATGCTGCAACCTTTAATACAGTTCCTCATGTTGTGGTGACCCCAACCATAAAATTATTTTCATTGCTGCTTTTATAATTGTAATTTTGCTGCTGTAATGAATCATAATGTAAATATCTATGTTTTTCAATGGTCTTAGTCGACACCTGTGAAAAGGTCATTTGATCCTCAATGGGGTCATGACCTCACAGGTTGAGAACCACTGATTTAGAGGGTGTGATGTACACACCCCTCCAAGAAGAATATAGATACAAGAGTAAACTATGTGATGTTCAAGGAATATAGTTGAATAGGATATACGACACTCACGTGTTACTAATTCACATGTTCATAGTACATGACCAAAGAAAGGATTTAGGTCGATGAGTCTTAGTGAAAGGCAGAGTGAGGAAAGGACTCACTGCTTCCTAAGGGAGGAGAACTACCTTTATTTTTACTTGTTAACTTGTATATTATTTAACACAAACAAAGATGCTAACTGTATCTTCTGGTCTAGGGGTCATGAAATAATTTTACCATTTTAAAATAAATTTTCAGGTTCAGTTAGGAACCGAGAAAACCAGCAGTTAAAAGTCTCAAAAGTCTCTTAAAAGTCTTTACCTTTTCATGCAGAGAAATGCTGTTTGGCTAACCAGTTGATCAGAGAAAGAACAAAGAACTATTAGTGGAAATCTATACACTTGTGCTTGTCCATGACTATGCACTTAAGGTTTTTATTAAGTTTCTTTGCAAAGTTCTTCTTGGAAGGTATCCAAGGTCCCTGATATTACATTCTTCCTGTGTGGTTTTGTGGGGAGAGAAGCATCTGGAGGCACATGCATTCTCAAATCACCACCAGACTCCCCAGTGCTCAGAAAGGCATGTTACAGTCATTGCCAGCAGGCATGCACAAGTTTCTTCCCACGGATAGTGTCTGTCTATATGAAACAACCCAAGACTCTTTTCTTTCCTCAACTTAGTCTTTTTGTCTGTATTTCATGTATGTGCAGGTGCCTGAGCGTGACAGAAGAGGGCAGCAGATCCCCTGGAGCTGGAATTAACAGTAGTTTGGGAGCTGAGTAATATGGATGCCGGGAACAAATTCAATTCTTCTGCAAGAGCAGCAAAAGCTCATAACCACTGAGACATCTCTCTAGCCCTCATCTATATGTTTATAATCATTATAGGCACTTACTATAGAAGCTGAAAATACTCTAAAATTTAGTTAGAAGTACAAAAAATAAATAAGAATGTTAAAAAAAAAAAAGAAAGTTGAGACTGGAACATTTCTGACTACCTCACTACAAAACTTACTACAAAGCAACTGGGAAGGAGACAGTGTATTAGGTGTAAGGTCAAATCCACCACGGACAAGAATAGAGGATTCAGAAATAGATTTCAAATTGTGTAGTGTGAGGTGATGGTTAATTTTAACCACCTGATTAACATCTGGACCTCTGAGCATATCACTGAGTCTCCAGATGTGATTAGATCAAAAGGGATCTCACCCAATGAACAGTTTAGCTCTTTGATAGACTCAAAATTTGAAGAGATGTGTAGGAGGTGGCGGAGTTGTGGAGGGTAAAGGTTCAGATGGAAGATGTGGAATCACTGGGTTCGTGTCCTTGCCCTGTCCCCTTCCTTCCTGATACTGTTCCAATCTTCTTCCTGTCCACCAGGAAGTAAAAGTCCTGTCCTACATGCTCCAGCCACCATGCAGTTCTGGCCGAGACCATGGAAATCCTGAGGTAAAATAAATCTCATATATTTTGGTAACAACTAAAAATAACTATACATACAGCTAACTGGCTCATGACAAAAAGCACCAAAACAGTTTAATGGAGAAGGAAGTAATTTTTTCTGAATGGCAACAGAATAAATGAAGATCGATATTTTAAAAAATACACCCACTCCACTTACAACATCTTCCATACATTTATGCCATATGCAAAAGTTAGTATGTATACAGTAAAAATTATATTACCTGAGTGTAAAAGCAAGAACAAAAGCCGATTGGCAACCTGTGAGCAGACACACAGTTTTTAAGGCACCAAAAGAAATACCATAAAAAATTTAAATTCACTGGACTTCATCAAACTAAAATCTTTCTGCTCATCAAATAACACAGAAAATGAATAAGCAAGCCTTAAATTAGAAGTAAATGTTTTTATCATGCATATCTGAGGAAGAACTTATGCTAAGACAATATAAGAAATTCATAGCTATCAATTTGTAGGTATCCTCCAAGACTCAAATGTTTAAATTTAATTCCCATTGTGAAGTAGTAAAAGGGCAGAAACTTAACGCAACTCTGGTGTGAGGAGATAGAGTCTTAGAAAGTGAGGAGGACCCAGAAGAGTTAGGAGGATAGAGTCCATGATTAAACGCTGGTGGCTTTACAGGAAGAGAGCAATCAGAGAAGATATCCATAGATGCTTCCTGTCTCTGGTTATGCAATACCCTGCACTGCCTCAGAGCTCTCCCAGCCTTTCAACCTTAGAGCAGAAGTGTGAGCCAAAATAAACTTCTACCTTAAAAGGCCCCCTCACACATGTCATCATACGGATAAGCCAACCAATTATACACAGGCAAAAAGTTCAGATGTTGCACAAATCAATATATCATATAGATCCCCAGGATCACAGAATGATGTTATCAAGGAAACGAAAAGGAAAAGCACAAGATAGTCACTAAGACCGCTAAAAATAAAAAGAGGCACATTTGGCATCAATTTGTCAAGGATGTGGAGCAAGCAGAACTAGAAGTCACTGTTGGTGGACACATACCCTTTGGAAAAATACTTGAATTTCTATCAAATTCAACATCTACCCCTCTTGCTCAGGCAGTTCTGCTCTTAGAGTTTCATGTAAGACAAACAAGAACATAGTTACATGAGGCAGTGCATATAACAATGTTGATGGAATTTTATTTACAATAGCTTCAAACTGGCTCTAAATGTTCATGGATAACCAGTGTGTAAACAATGAACAATTCAGCAGTGAATGGGGTTATACTTTATGGGATACATTTAGCAACATGATCTGTTGTGGGGCTTTTCAGGGTCCCCCTTGCTGTTTAATAGTAATAATACAGCGACAACTGTATAGTTTAAAGCTGTTGGCCTGTTTGCTGGGACAGTCTTTCATCTGGTACCTAACTTAATTCAACTTCTCCACCATTACATTGCTCCAAATTGCTCTCTCTATTTTATGTTCCTATCTTGCTCTTGTATTCTTATAAATGAATGAAAATCCCAATCATTCTGATTTACCAATAAAGACGCAGGAACTAGATGCTGGGGTGAAAACCTGCTAGCTCAGAGAGGCAGATAAAGCACCCAGCTGACCTTCACTAGGTCAACTAACAGCCCAGGTGGTAAAGCCCCAAAACCCAAAGGCCAAAGGCTTACTTGCTCAAAGTTCAAAAAGCCCAAAAAGCCAGAGAGCTAAAGTTCAAGAGCCAGAGAGCTAAAGCTCTTTCTACTTCTACAGTCTTAAATACCCCCAACCCAAAGTCCCACCTAACTTTAATCCATGTCAGCTAGCTTCTTGCTCTGCCTCTTGATCTAGGGTTAACTTTATTAAATCCCATGTACAGAAAGCTCTTGTGTGTGCTAGGGTTGGCTGAACCACACAATAACCACCCGTTTACAATAAACTGAAAGTTCCTGGGTTAAAGTTGTGTGTTAAGGACTCAACCAAACCAAACAAGAAACAAGGTTGTATAGTTCACAGTCTCAGAGTTCACAATGGGATCAAATATCCTGCAACATTCCTGTTCTTTCTTCTGTCTCTGCCCAGGTCTTTCTGCTGGTCTTCCTGTCCCAGTTCCAGCTGCCAGCTCTTTTCATGCAAAAAGCTACATTCCTTATTCATCCAGTTGGCTTCCCTTTCTTTCTTTTTTCTTCTTTCTTTCTTTCTTTCTTTCTTTCTTTCTTTCTTTCTCTCTCTCTCTCTCTCTCTCTCTCTCTCTCTCTTTCTTTCTTTCTTTCTTTCTCTCTTCAGGTGAGGAAGAGTCAAACACATATCCTGGCAGGCACCACAGGCCTGCTCAGCAATTAACAATTGAGAACACAGGGACATACTTTTTCTGTCACCAATAAATATACTTGTGGGTCATCCTGTCGGGAGCAGTGCCTCTGGCAGCTGCTTTGATATTTAAATCTCAGTGGAGAGACTGCTTTTACCGTACCTTCTCTAAAGGCAGGGTAGAATTTGCAAGTCCATCCCTTTTGTTTGTGACAGCAGGTAGGATAGCTTGTGAGGATCACACCTCTTCCTCAGGCTCCTTGTGCAAATTAAACCATTGTTCTGAGATGTTTCTACTCTGGCTTAGAAACTCTACAATAAAAAGACAGGCTGACAGTTACTGCAGAAGAAGGTTGAAGATGATGCTCCAAGCATCCTGTCTCAACTCTTGTGTAAACAGGACACAAATAAAGCAACTAGATACAATGTTGTGCAATGGGAGGAGCCAGAGGACAGGAAAGAGGGGAGGAGCTAGAGAGCAGGAGGTGAGTGGGAGGAGAAAGCACGAGGAGAAAGTGCGAGGAGGGCAGAGCTGGAGGAGAGAGCTTGGAGGACGTGGAGCATGAACCAGACCTAAGATTTCACAAAAAGCAAGTATAATGTGGGTAATCTAAATGTTAGGAAACAGAGGGCTGGAGGCAGAGGAGGAGGCAGAGACTTGAGACTTGCTGCTTGCACTGCTTGCTGCAGCAGCCTGCCTTTTGCTGTGGCTGTTGAGTCTGGACCTTTAAAAAGTTTCCTGTGTGCTGTGTGTTTATTTAAATAATATTAATCCTCACTCCCGACTCAAGAACCGTTTGACTCTGCTGGCTGGCTCCGGCATCATCCCAAGAAAGATCCAACATGAATTTTCTAAGAGACATGCCCAAATCAAAATATGACATACTGTGTGACTCCAATTATATGATATTCTAAAATAGGGAAAATTGATATGGAGAGTGAAAATTTAAAAAAAAAACATTGAAGACATAGGGCATGGAAATTCGCTTTTTTTTTGTCATGATAAGACTCTGAATTACAGGAGCATATCCATTTGTAAGAATGTACAGAGAGGACTTGTGTATTCCTGATTTCCTGTGTCTAAAGTTACATGGTGTCTTCAGCAATAGGGACTTGTCTTCAACCTCTGGGAGGCAGATAAGGGCAACAGTAATAGCCTATATTGTTTTGGGAGTGTAATAACCATGCAGCCAACACATCTGGAATGAAGAGATTTATTTGGGGGAAGGGGAAAGGAAGGGAGTTAGAGCCTGAGTGATCCATGAGGGCAGAGAGGCAGATAGAGAGGGAGAGAGAGATATGGGAAAAGGAAGAAACCAAGGCAGAGAGAACGAGCAAGAGAGATGAGGTAGCAGTTGGTCCTTTTATATCTGATGCATAGATGAAACATGTCTGCCACACATCTAGACCCTGTCAGAGGCACATATTGACGTCACAGGTTGCTAAGCAACCTATGGGTGGGATAGTGCATCATCAGCTTGTGAACTAACAGGGAGTCTCTTGTTACTTGTAACAAGTTACTCTTGTAACTCCACTGACCAACAGCTTGGTGAAAAGAGGTTTCTCATGCCTTCTATTGGGATTTTGTTAGATGGTCTAAGGCTCTCTGACCTGAAAGCCTTGGCGAGAAGATGCTCTGCAAGCTGCCAAAGGGAGGGGGCAATCCTACTAGATGTGACATGACACCTATGAGCCACAACAATGGCCATTCCTGGAAGATACATGAAAAGGGACAATAGTGTTGTGGGATCCACTTAAATCCAACATAACTCAAACACCAGGTCAATGCAGGTGACAACAATTTATTGTAATCAAACTGCTACTGATCAGGGCCTAAGAAGATTCAGAGCTTCTTAGACTCGGAGCTGATCTATGTATGACCCTGAAGGGAAGTTGTACACCATATTTAAAGGACAAAACCATAAAGCAAGGGAGAATGGGGTGGGTTGAACAAGAGAGTTTCCATTAATCAGGATAAGAGTAGGTTCCTGGGCCTGAGAACATGAACTTAGTTGACCCTGCCAGCAAGATGGAGAAGTTGTCCTTAAAATGGCTGGACTCAGACAATTGTCTCCTTACAATTTGTCCATGAGATGTCTTGACTCAGA